TGCAGCTGTAAGCTCTGTTGTACTAGTGCTCCTCCTCACACTGGGACTAAGACCCAGGACTGAGACTCAGATCTAAGTTAAGGCAACGCAACACAGTCCTGCCCCTGGAACCAGCAAAGGAACCCTTGTAAATCTTCTTCTATCCCCTTACTATCTATGGACTGATAGGTCTGGAAACCACCACTGCTGCCACTGATTCAGTTGCCTCAGGTTTGCTCCTGGTTTGCTGGGGCCGGGTCTACACTGGCATTGCCTGTGCTAGACAGTGCTCCTTTCTCACCCTGATACAACAGACCTTTCCTGCTGACATTCCAAATCAGGTCTGCACAACAGGGGCCACTTTCAGCCCACCAAAGGATTTCAGGCAGCATACAAAAAAATGTAGAAGGTGTAAAAGAAAATAAAGATTAACAAGTGCTTTGTCCACGTCCCACTTAACCTGCCTTCTGCTAGTCACTATTGTGCCCATCATGTAACTTGGTGGGTGGGTTGCTACTGTGCACTCTCTCCTGTTTGTCACGTGTGACCTGTGACACCCAACCATCGTCAGTCTGTCTCTAGTGACTAGACTATCTGCAACCTGAAGAAGTTTAGTCTATTTTAATTTTGACCCCTATCTACTGCCAAGTTGTGCAGGTCTGTTCTAAGTTGTCTTGGGCTGGAAAATTGTTTTACTCCATCTTATTGTGGGTTCTGCCACTCTAGAATTTGTTTAGAGTCATTTATTTAAAGGTATTTGGAAGGGTTTCAGGGAGAGCTCAGGTAAGTCCCTGCTTTTACTCCACTATCTTGGCTCTGTCTCCTAAGTTTCAGAGTTTTTCTAAACTCACATGGGGCCCTTGGAAGCTCCAGGGAACACTAGAGACCCGGGTCAGTGGGGCTCAGACATGGACTTTCCAGGACACTGAGGGCCCTAACACTCTACACCAAGATACCATAGAGGACTCTCAATATTCAGTGCTCTCAAATTCAGAGATCCAGGGGGCCTAACTGACGAAAGAAGAGGAGGAAGAGGAAGAAGAAGAAGAGGAGAAGGAGGAAGAGAAGGAGGAGGAGAAGGAATCTGGGTGACCCAGTGTAAGAGCAAGATGGGCTGACCACCTCACTGAAACACACTGGAATGAGTGAAACCTAGCCTTGTCACCAAGTCCTAATTCACAATCTAAAACTGGAGAGATGAATAAATCAAAGAAGATACAATCCAATAAAAATTTTAAAACCCAACAAATCTAGAGATCCTCTCAAACTGCAAATCTAGAGATCCCCTCAAAGAAGGTATGAATAACTCCTTAAGAACTTCTAGTAGAGGGGCAGCTAAGTGACACAGTGGATAAAAGCTGGCCCTAGAATCAGAAGGACCTGAGTTCAAATCAGGCCTCAGACATATGATACTAGCTGTGTGACCCTGGGCAAGTCACTTAACTCTGATTGCCTCACCAAAAAGCAAAAAAAAAAAAAAAAAAAAAAAAAAAAAAAAAAAAAAAGAACTTCTAGCAGAGTCTTAAAGGAAAAAATAAATTTTACCCAAAAACTACATGAATACTTAGAAAAAAAGAAACAAGAGGTTTTTTTTTAAGAATGACATAAACACTCAAGGATATATATGCAAGGAGAATAAATACCTTAGAAGAAAAAATGGTAAACCTTACCAAAGTAATAGACTCCTTGGAAACTAGAATAAAGAAAATAGAAATCAATGACTCCATTAGATAGCAAGAAATATTAAAACAAAAATCAAAAGTTTGATAAATAGAAGACAATTTAGGATATCTGATATAGAAAAAAAACTGACCTGGAAAATGAGACAAGGAGAGATAATTTTAAAATTATTTGACTCCCTAAAAATCATGATTTTAAAAGAAAACTGGACACTCCATTTCAAGAAATCAAATGAAAACTGCACAGATTCATTAGAGATAGAAACAAAGTGTTGAAAGAATCCACCTATTACTTCCTGAAATGTCCCAAAAGGAAAAGTCCCAGACATGTCAAAGCTAAAATCCAGAGCTTCAATGTCACAGAAAAAAATATTGCAAGCATCCTGAAAGAAGCAATTCAAGTATCAAGGGACCAGTCAGTCAAAAAACATTTATTACTCACCTACTATGTGCCAGACACTGTGCTAAGCACTAGAAATACAAATAAAAAGAAGAAAGATAGTATCTCAAGGAGCTCACAGTCTAAAGGAGGAAGACAACAAACAAAAAGAAGCTGAAAAGGGAGGAGTGGGGAAGAGGAAAGGTACTTAGTTTGAGGACATGATGGAGAAGCCCAGAGAAATGTCAGGATCACACAAGAGCTAGCAGCTTCTACTAAAAGTGAGCAGAGATCTTGGAATCAAATATTCCAGAAGTTCAAATATATAATCCTACATGGGGGGAAAAAAGTAGATCTTTAATGCAATTGAGAACTTTTAAGCATTTTTTATGAAAAGGTCAGGGCTGAGTAGGAACTTTGAAATGTAAACACAAGAGTCAAGAGAAACCTAGAAAAGTACATTTATCTGAGCTATTGGAAAGGGCCAAATGATGTTATAATACTAACATTTTAATAAGGGGAAAAGAAACAAGTGTCCCTTCAGAACTTTAATGTCTTCAGTTGGCATTGAGAGAATGAAGTCAGAAAAATAGAAGACACCTGAGGGATGGATTGGTTCCATTCTGAGAGTTTGAAAAGGGTAAAGAGGAAAGAGAGTGAGAAAAAGATGACATTAGTGTAGAAAGGGAAAAGAAAGGAGTAGAACTTGCTGCTTCTCATAATTGAGGTGCTTGGGCAGAAGGGTAAAAAAACGGAAGAAGGGGTAAGGGAACAAGCATCAGATAAACCTCAATCCTACATGAAACAGATAAAAGAGTATTGTTATGTTACCCACCTCCTGACAATGAAGTTAATAGACTTCACAAGTGGACTTCACAATGGACTGCACAAGGTGCAGAAAGAGGAAGCAAAGCTCTAGTGAATAGCCCATGTGCAGATGAGAGGGTAGAGAAGGAGATTAAGGACTTCCAATCATGAGACATGCCCACCTCTAGGGGCCATCACCACATTAACATACTATTTTACACAGCAACAGGGTGATATAATAGACCCAAAGGGAGAGGGTCTAAAAGGGAGGCCCTCCCTGTTAGTTTGTTGTGGGGTACCCTCAGCAAGTCACCAAAAAGAGTAATATAGTCTCAAAATGCTTCTCATCTTCTGAGAACAAGTTACTCAACCCTGCTGTCATGACTAAGAGAAAGGCTAAGAGCTAACACAATCATCTCTCCTGCTTGCTGTATATATCCACTGGATGTCCCACCTGGACCTTAAACTTAGCAAGCTGAAATCTAATATCCTTATCCTTCCCTGTAGCAAAAAACAAACCTTTCATTTGTTCTTCTCCAGGCTACACTCCTGACTCTCCCAAATTTTTTCTACCAAACCCTAGAAACTTCTTAATGCTGTAAGCACAGTCTACCCCTGGACAACTTCTCATATTGGAAGTACCCTCTGCCCCTGCAGCTTTTCCCTCTTAAGGGCTGATTCCTCCCAGAATTTCTATTTTAAGGGGGAGGCCCAGATATCCATATCTTCATTCCTCTCTAGGCTGCAGTCTTGACTCTCCTAGACTTCTCTACAATATCCCCACACCAAGTACCTTAATCTCCCCCTCTACATCCAGCTCCCTTTTATGTGCTGTTTTCTTCCATTAGAATGTAAGCTTCTTGAGGGTAGAATCTGTCTTTCTGTTTGACCATGGCTCATTCCATTGTTTGTTGTTGTTCAGTCTTGTCCTACTCTACACCACCCCATTTTGTCCATGGGATTTTCTTGGCAAAGATACTGGAGTGGTTTACCATTTCCTTCTCCAGTGTGCTACCATTTTACAGATAAGTAACTGAGGCAAATAGGAGTTAAGTGGCTTGCCCAGAGTCACACAACTATTAAGTGTCTGAGGCCCCATTTGCACTGAGATCTTTCTGACTCCAAGCCCGCTGGTCTATCCACTACATGACCTAGTTGTCTCACATGGCACATAGTAAGCCCTTAATAAATGCTTGTTAACTTGCATTTACTTGAGATAGCTTATGTAAAGACAAAGAGAAGGGAAATGGAATGTGACATATAAGGTCAATTTGTCCAAGACTGGAGAAAAGAAGAAGAGAGAGGATTTATGCTGAGAAATGTGGAGGAATAGAAAGAGTTAAAGAGCTTTTCATTTCAGTCTCATTCTCAGTGAATGGGAACAGTCATATGCTATAAGTGGGGACAGGGAGAGAAAGGATCAAAGAGAAACTAAAAGGGTTGGAACAGTTTGTATGGGGAATAATACAGGAAATTGGTTTACATTTTTCCTTGACAAAATACCAAAAAAAAAAAATCCACATTTTCCTCTTTCCCCTCCCCTCTCCCCTTTCCCCTACTCCCAATAATTTCAAACCAGCTCTGAGCAAGAGACTACTTAGGGGCTTCATCTCAACCTTCTGCTGCCACCCAGTGGTAATTTTCAGAGAGTACTCAATCAAGGCCCTTGGACTTTGAATGAAAACGAGGTTTTGCTGCAGCTGAGTGGGTCAGTGTGGTGACTATTCAAGGTTGGCAAACACAGGAGAAAAAGCTTTGGTATTTTCTCAGTTGCAGGGCTGAGAGAGGGCAAGAGGGAGGCGAAGAGGGGTGCTCCTGGTTTCTGTGAATACTCAGAATTGGGGAGGAGGGTAGGTAGATGGACACAGTTGCTGGAAAGAAACTTGAAGAATCAGCGGATAGAAACCCCTCCCACCCAGATAGGCAAGCATACACCCCCTCCACTTCCCTCTTCACTCTTATTTGGGATATCTGGAGGAAATGATGCTTCTGTGGGAAATACCTAAAAGCAGAGACTAACTGCTGAGATCTCACTTTCCTGCTAACATTCTGAGAATCAGCAGGAGTCTTACATAGACCCAATGAACCCTTCCCTATAGGCCCAGGACAAAAAATCATCCTTCTCCATTCCTCCCGAATTAGCCCCAGAACAGACAATGAGGCTTCTACTGCTCTGGGGCTGGATCATTATTCCAGGTGAGAACAGAATGGATTTGACTAGAAAGCCCCTGGGGTAGTAGGAGGGACGAGGATTTGGGGTTTTCCATTATAGGTCTGCAAGACAACCCAACCGCTCCAGAGAGAAGGACTTTGGGCATTGTATTCTCCTTCCCCAGAACCAACCTTTCAGGCCAACTCTGTTCAGCCCATCCGCAGCCTCCCTCTCCCACTCCATCTATCCCATCCAACCCAACTGCTCCCAAACCAACAATGTCCACTATCCCTTTTCCATCTTGAGATGCCAAGAGAGTATTGGTTCTGGTGGTTTCTTGGAGAAAGATACTCAGTTCCTAGGGAATAGCACCTGAGCTCAGGATCTTGGGCTTGAAAATTGTAAAGCCACTCTTGCCTCTGTTTGACAGTGAGAGTTAAGTCAATTGCTTTCCTCGACATCTTTTATTCTCCCACTTGTGACAATGGAGTCATAATCCTGATTCCGTTTTCCAAGGGAAATTGGGGGGGAACTACTGATCTCAGAGCATGTTAAAAGGAAGAAGCACAGGAATTCTAAGGGAAAAGACCCCATTCCATCTTCCCTGCAGAAACTGAGCCAATGTAGCTCCAGGCATTGCCAACTTTATTCCACTTGATTTCAGGTTATGAAGCCTTGGTGGGTCCAAAGGAAGTCAGTGGGCCAGAGGGAAGTTCTCTGTCTGTGCAATGTTCCTATGAGGATAAGCATCAAGAAAAGAGGAAATATTGGTGCAAAGTCAAGGGAATAATTTTTAGCCACTGTGACACTTTCATCATTACGGAGGCAGGGAAAGAAGAGATGGTTGGCAAGGTGTCCATCAAGGACAATCCTGAAAATGGAACATTCACTGTGATCATAAGGGAAGTCACCTTGAAGGATGCTGGGAAATATCTGTGTGGGATTTCCCTAATTGGATTTGATGAGGTTTTTGCAGTCACTGTGGTTGTTTTTTCAGGTAATTTTTTCTCTTTATAAACTGAGAGGACTGAGGCTGAGGTGGGCTAGGGGTGGGAAGGGTGCTATGGGGATGATCAAGGAAAAGCAACAAGATATTCTGAGAGTCAATATTGGAAAGTGATGGATTTGGCACAGTTTTGAACCTTTCCTCACCACGGTGACCTTGAGTACGTCACTTCCCCCTTGATGGACCTCAGTTTCCTCACCTGTAAAGGGAGAAGGCTATGATATTTCAATACTATTGTGTAGAGAGCTGTCACAGGTTGGAAGCAAAAGAGGTGAGTCCTAATGAATACCCCCACCCCCACAGTCAAGGTCATTCCTAGGTATTTCTGAGCCTGAGATGATACTGTATTTCTGGGTCCTCTTCACCTCCCCCCATCACATTGACCATTCACTCAGTCTAGGCTGCTGCCTACTGGGATCTTAAAAGCCCATTCGTAGCTACTAGAAGATGCTCTTCAGGTTCTGTCTCCTCCACATGAGGTCCCCAGAGGCAAAGTCCCCTCTGATCCCCTCAGGATACCATGAACTCACTACTCCCTGCAAAACAGCCAATATTCAGCTTTCACCCCCTAGCTTCATGAGGTTCTTTTGTTTGGAGCTGAGGACCCTGAAGAGTTTGAGTAGTCTGGGGCACTGAGAGGACTGGGGGTCTTAGGATAAGAGTCATAGAGAGTTTGGGGGATGGAGACATTAATAGCCTTGGGTGCTTGAAGCCAGGGTCACTGAGGGATTATGGGGTTGGGAAGGGCTTGGAGTTGGGGCCACAAATTCATTAAATTTTTTAGTTTTAAGGGATCTTAGGGCTCACCTCTAAATTCTCTCTAAGGCCCCTTCTCTAAGATCTCAAGACATTATTAAACGAGTCATCTAGAGCCACATAGCTATAACTCAGGTATTCTTCCAGTGTTCTTTCCCCTCATCTATAAAGGGAAGGAAATAAGCCTTTATTAAGTACGTTCTGCCTAGCACTGTGCTAAGCACTTCAAAGGTGCTTAATATTTAATATATATGCATATCTCATTTGATCCTCACAACAACCCTGAGAGGTAGGAGAAATTATGATCCCCATTTCACAGTTGAGAAAACTGAGGCAGAGAAAGGTTAAGTGACTTGCCTAGGGTTGCACAGCTAGGGAGTATCTGAAGCCAAATTTGAACTCGTCTTCCTGACTCTAGGCCAAGCACTCTATCCACAGGGCCACCTAGCTGCCTCCTCATTGACTTCATTGGGGAAGGGGCTCGGGTCATATACAGGCTTAGAGCTGGAGCTGTGGGGGAAAGTAGGTAGGGCTAGCCAGATGTTGGGGGAAAGGAGGCTTCTTCTCTGTGTAGGACAAAACACACCTGGACTTAACCATAGGTGTCACATGTTAGATTGGTTAGGAAGAGAATGGTCAACTGAGAATTCCATGCCCAGTCAGTCTTGACTGAGGTGAGGATGACATTGTAATTGAAGAGGAGATGAGAGGACAATGGAAGTCTATCCTGTATTGGCAATAAGGATCCTCTGAAGATTATAAAGCAAGGGAGTAACATGATCCAATTGGTACCATAGGAAGATTATACAGGCAGCTGTGGGCAGGGTAGATTATAGAGCGTGGTACAGACTGGATCCTCAGAGATGAGCAAGTTAATGCAGCAATCATAGCAATGGAAAGGTAAGTGTGGAATAAGCAGCAAAATAAGCAAGCTGTGGGACCCTAGAAAAGTTTCCTCATCTATAAATGGAGACAGCAATGTTTACACCCATCTTAAACAAGTCTCAACCTCTTCAGGCCCCAATTTCCTCATCCATGTAAAATGATTGGCCCAGGTTGGCCTAAATGGTCTCTAAGTTCTCATCTGAATCTAAATCTAATGGTTCTCTGATTCTTTCTAATGCTTATCATTCTAGAAATGAGTTTCTATTAACATAAGAACATGAATGAGAATGGTTTCTAATGGAATAAAGAGAAAGGCATGGATGTTTTTACATGTGTATTTTGAAAGAAAAATCAAGGATTTGGCGACTGATTTGGTTGTGGGGAATGAAGAAGCAAGAGATCGAAAATGCTTCAAAGCTTTAAGCTTGGGTCACAGGGGAAAATGGTGGTCCAGGTATAGAAATGGGACACTGGCAGATATGAAGGGCTGTGTTATAGTGGAGAAAACTGGACTTGAACATTGAGAATCTGGGTTGAAAACCTCCTCTACTACTTAAATACCTGTGTGATTTAGGACAAATCACTTAACCTCTCTGGGCTTCAATATGCCCTTCTATAAAATGAAAGGGGTTAAGTACCTTAGATCTCTAAATCTATGAATCTGTGATCTGATATTTGAGGATTGTCAGCTTCACTGCTAGGATTCCCTCCCTAAAAAGGAAAATTGAGAGCTGGCTTTACTCCTTCCAATGAGCACAAGAGATTGATTGCCCTTGATTGAGTGATGGAGGAGCTGAGACATCCTCATAGTAAAACGTCTGATTTGGAGTCCTGAGCTCTCCAGGTCTGTTGTGATGTGCAGTGCTTATTAGCCCAAAACAGGATTCTGCCTTCTTCTTTCTCTTTATAGGGCTCAGGAGTTCTGTCTCCCCAAACCCCTCCCCTCAGCCTTTCTCTACAAGGAGTGTCCAGCAAGGGGCAAAAGTTTGGAAAACTCAGTCTCCAGAGTTGAGTGAGTGATTGATTTTTGGGGAGTGGTGAGGGTGGGATGGGAGATGCCTTCTGTGCTAGAGAAGTATTGTGTCATGAAGGCATTGGACTGTGCCCCTGTGTTGCTGCAGAGAGAGGGCAGGCTAAGTGGAAAAGGGTGCTGCCTGTTATTAGCCACCTTCTCCTTCCTTCTCTGTCTGACCCTGATCAGTGTGCCCATTGACATAAAATCAAAGTACATTGAGCAGAGAGAGGGGGCAGTGATGTGCTGGGGCTAGCTTGTAGTGGCTCTCAAGACCCAATTATTTAACTTTCAGTGTGAGCATTGACACCTCAAAAATAGGGAAACACACAAATCAAGGGATGATTTATTTAGTTCATTTATAGATGGGAAGTGATGAGGTAAATGTTAATACTATAGATTAAACTTAAAAGTGTGTCTTTTATGCAATTTTTTCAGAAAGCCTGTAGTTTAATTGTTTACCAGCATATCCCTAAGTATGGGTGGAAAATGCAAGGGGGTGGGGTCATGGTATAAAGGAATGGAAAAGAGGACAATCTCTGGAGTCAGAGGGCCTGGGTTCAAATCCTAACTCCTCTGGTTACTCTCTGTTACCTTGGGCAAGTCACTTTCCTCTTTCGATATCAATTTCCTCCTCTGTGGTACATTGGGGGTTGAACCAGCTGACCTCTAAGGTCCCTTCTATCTCTAAATCTATGGTTGTAGGAACCTATAATTTGTTCCTGGGACAGGAGATGGAGCTCAGTTGCACAGTTCATATTGTCCCCACTCAGTGGAGAGATTGGGTATAAGAAGTGGATGTGGGGAGAGGACAGGTGGGACTCTGGGGGCAGAAGTCCTATGTGGATGTGCAGTGTGTGTTGATGCAGCGTACTTGGAGAGAGAGAAGATAAGAATGATGAGTAACCTCATATTCTGGACCACAACCATGCACCCACTTCTATCTATATGGATAGAACTCAAGTGCTTCTGTCCAAATTCTGTCAGATGTTCTTGAAATGTGGACCATTCAGAATGGGTTGGGTTTGGACTTCTTTGATCCAGTCTGGGTCATCTTCTGATTGAAACGGTGCAGAGAAGGTGGTAAGGGAAAGAGCTGAGGCTGAAATATTCTCTTTTCATTTGTAACATGTTCTAGTGCTTATTAACTTAAGACAGGATTCTGAGAGGTCCTCTCAGCTTTCTCCTTTCTCTTTATAGGGCTTGGGAGTTCTGTCTCCTCAGATCTTGCCCTTCAGCCTCTCTCTACAAAGAGTGTCCAGCAGGGGGCAAAAGTTTACCCAAGAGTGAACACCAGAGCAGAAATCCTTCGAAGGGGCCAAGAGACCCTACAGACAAGAACCCAACAACATGCGGGCCAAGCAGTCACTTCCCACCATAGCTCCAGTGATATGAACCCAAGGTCCAGGTGAGCTCCAGAGCTGAGTTCTCCTCCCTGAGGGCCACAGTCCTGTCTACCTCTGACTCTGATGGTGAAGTTCAGAAAAGGGTTCTCCTTCTCCTATCTCCCATCTCTCTCTCCCTCCTATGTCCCTTTCCTTTTTCCATCTCCCTTTCCCAACTCCATCTCTCATCTCCTTCTTCCTCTTCCATATCCTATTCCTTCTCCTAGCTCTCATGTCCCCCCTCTCTCCCTCTCCCATCTTTCCCCCTCCATCTCTCTCTCCCTCTTCTACTTCCCTTTCCCTCTTTTGTCTCCCTCTCCCATGCTGCTCTCCCTCTCCATCTCCCTTTCTTTCTGTTCCCAGGCCTTCCATCCCATTGATCCGCATTCTGGCTCCATGCATCATCCTCCTGTTGCTATTGGTGGTGACTGTAGCAACTGTCCTGATCCTGTTAGCAAGAAGAAAAAAAGGTGAGAGCAATAGGCCCTCGAACTAGACTTCCGGCATCCACTCCAGTTCTGACATTCTATGGTTCTAAGGGTTCATTTGGCCAGGGATTAGAAAAATTATCACCCTGGTGAGATATTTGTTGGGGGAGGCAGAGAGACAGGGAAGGGATGGAGTCAAGACTCCCCTGGTGTCCACCATCTTGACATCTCCAGACTCCAGGCCGTGTGGTTCCTCCGATCTCTTCTTAGCTCCAATTAAACTAAAAGAATGCTTATTAAATGTCTGCTTTGTACAAGGTATTCTACTAAGCAGAGTTCTGCACAATAAGATGCCTGAGCAAGGTTGGAGTAGCCTTAAGCTCGGGATTGATGCTGAAGGACCTATCTTAGCAGCCAGGTGTGGGCAGTGTTATATTTCTTAGATGTTCTGGATTCTTTGGCAGGTGGCTTGAGCTACAGGAGGCTAATAGGATAGGATTGTCAGGAGAGGAGTAGACACTGCCCCAGATGGATTGGGCTGGCATAGCCCATTCCTGAGGGGCTGGACTGGTGTGAGCACTAGCTTCTCTTGGTGCCAGGGGAAGCTTTAACCCCAAAATGTTGATGATTTGGAGGTAGACTGAATAATCTTGTTTTTCAAAGTTCTTTCTAAAACTTTTCCCTTTGGAGGACAGCAGAAGGATGTGGGTTCTGGAGATTTCTTATCACTCCTCTCAGAGCTGTCTTTAGGCTGCTCTTTGCCTGAGTCTTCTACTTCTGGAATTTCTTTCAGCTCAACTTGTAGAGGAAACAGGAAAGAATGGACAACTTCATGACTCGAACTCGGTAAAGACTGATGCCTGATTCAAGAGCATTCTCACATTGGAAGGGTCCCATAGGTGCCCCACACATGGGGCCCTCAAGCCAGATGCCTGGGCTCCACTGCTTCTTCACTACAGGACCCGGGCACCTTCCGCTGTCTTGGGCTTCATGAGCATGTCACCAAAAGGGCTGGCTTTGGAGTCAAAAGCAACCTGGACTGAGTCCCACCTCTGCCTCTTACTAGCTGTGTGACCATGGGCAAATCAATCAATTAACCTCTCTGAGCTTCAGTTTCTTCATCTGCAAAATAGGCACAATAACACCTAGAGTACCTACCTCACAGGGTTGTTGTGAGGCTCAAATGAGATTCATAAACCTTAAATGTTGACCATGATTATTGGCCCCCAATTCCTTGACCAAAAATGGGGTGCTACTTTGTGCCTTCTTCCTATCCACAGGAAACATCAAGAATAGGAGCTCAAGGGGCAGCTAGGTGGCACAGTGGATAGAGCACTGGCCCTGAAGTCAGGAGGACCTGAGTTTAAATCTGGTCTCAGACCAAACACTTAACACTTACTAGCTGTGTGACACTGGGCAAGTCACTTAACCCCAACTGCCTTAAAAAAAAAAAAAGGATAGGAGCTCAGCAAGGGAGAAGTTGTGACTGGAAATATTGGCCAATTCCTTCATCAGTCAATCAAACCAATTTATTAAGTGTCTGCCATTTAGTGGGTGCTGTGTTAGGCAATAGTGACATAGAGACAAATGAAATGATTCTTAACCATCAAGGGACTTAACATTCTAACATGGGTCACATTCTGATGGGACTTAGGCTTTAAGGGAAGCAAGCTTAGGCTTTAACAGAAGCAAGAGAAAAAGAAATATTGAGAGCAAACAGCTCTGGTCCAGGGAAGCAGGGAGAGCCCTAAGGAGTACATGGGGATATGCAAGGTCACAATCCCTACAGGCTTGATCCCTCCCACTTATCTCCCTCCATCCAATCTCCTCCTTGCTATGGCCAAGCCTGGACCAGTGGGGCAACCCTAGAGACTTGAGCAGAGCCAGAGAATCCTGGAAGAGATCAAAGAACAGGGGTGAGTCAGGTGTCCCCATTGTTGGAGGCAGACACCATAGTAGATCTCCCACCTTTCCTTGGCTGAAGGTCATCCCAACACCAGGTTAAAAAGTAAGAGGTGACTTAATATCCCTGGATTCAGAATCAATCAGTCAGTTAACAAACATTTGTTAAATGCTTAACATGTGTCAGGCACTGTGCTAAGCAGTGGGGATACAGAGAAAGGCAAAAAGAGAGTCCCTGCTCTCAAAGAAGTCACAGTCTAATGGGGATCAGTCAACAAGAATTTATTAAATGCCTGTTGCCTGGCAGGCATCAGAAGATGCGGAGTTAGAAATCTAGCTCATTGTGTGACTTTGGCCACCTCATTTCCTCTGTCCAGCCTTAGATTCCGCTATTGTATAAAGTTAGAGAGTAGGACCAGATGTTCTCTCATGTGCCTTCCAGCTGTGAATCCAAGATCTTAAGACAGAGTTGTGTGTCCATGTTAGAACAGAAATTCTCACATTTCTCTACATTACCAGTCCCTTCCCTTGGTTGTTTACAATGTTGCCTCACATCTCATTTCCAAGGAAGGTGGAGACAAGACCAACTTTGCCTTCTTTCCTGGGGCCAGAGAAAGACAAAAGATGTGGAGCCCCGATAACCCCTGGGATGCAGCTCTGGTTGGGGGTGGGGGACACTCTTGGCATTTGGAGCAGCAATAGGAAATAGCTATTGTTTTTCATGGGAAAGACCACAAGGCCAAAGGTGGCTACAAAGAATGAGGGATTTAGGGCAACTTCCTCTCTACTGAGCCCTCAATCAGTCAATCTCCTGCCTCTATACCTTTTAAAATCTGTTCCCCTATGTTTGGAATGCCCTCCTTCCTTACTTCTGCCTCTTAAAAACCCTAATTACCTTCAAAGCACAGCTCGAGGAACTCCCTTCTACATCGGGCATTTCTAAATCTCCTGAGTTGTAACTGGGTAGGGAAGGCAGGGATGAGGAAGTCAGTAGAACTGGAATGTGGTTTCTGGTCATCATTAT